AAGCTGAAAGATAAAAGAAAAGGATCTGTCTTCATAAAAGTCTGTGTCTTGTCTTGGCATGGGATTAAAACAGGTAGGCAGAGGTGCACATTGAAAATTGTTCCCAGCCATGTTGGTACAGACACAGTTGTAGAAAACATCTGCAACTATATCTGTAAAATATATTATCATTTTGTTAGGAATATGATTTTATTGCAATTCTGCCTTAAATTAGTGTGCGAACTTATAAAAGACAAAACACCTCATATATGTAGTCTGCACCCACTTCATAAATACAGGTCTTTTTTACTCAATCCCTTTGAAATTCAGGCTGTTTTTCTGGCTTTAAGTTACCTGTTGCTAAGCAAAGACTTGCGCAAAAACTTCACTGTTCATTTCAAGTCGTTTGCACATGCTTCCGTAGACACATGAAACAAGATCAGAGCCTATTTACAAAACAAAGTGGGGAACATATTTGAAAGATAAGAAGTAAGAACCAAAAGATTTTGTTATCTTAGTCACAGACAAGAAAAAGCTGTGAATTATCTGGGTCCTGGTTTAGAGCCCTCAGGCTGTAGCAGAGGAAATACAGTTTTCTGTCTGCAGACTGTGAACCCGGACAGAAGAGCAGTACAGAAAAATTCACACAGTTTATGTGAAACCAAAAATGATCGACAAATTTTTGTCAGGTAAGAAAGCCTGATCTCCATGTTTAACTTAAAGGCATTAAGGGCTTCTTATTTACAGATCAGACTGCTCAGGAAAATAATTGCTCACACTTTAATAACAACTTCAGAGAGATATACTCAATTCTACAGGAATCTTTCAAGTAACAAGAGCAGCTGAAGAAAAATATAAAGGAATAACTCTGTTTGGTATGGAACAAGAGCAAAGGTAAGCAGGGGAAGAAGGAAGCAGCATGAAGGAAAGAACGCAGGATGGAGATGTGGTGATCTACAGCGTTTGAAGGAAAAAAATCACCTTGCCCTGTGGCACAGGAAAAAAGGAGCAGCATCTGCAGTGTCTGTCAGCCTTAACTGCCATATTTATAACACCTGATCAGCAAACCATTTGATTGCAGATGGATTGGGAAACCAGCTGCCGTTACTGCTGAGATAAGCAGCACATTCATGTGGTGTCATGTGGCTGAGAACTGACGAGGTGTGTTCTGAGTCCAGTGGGCAACTGTTAGCTGTTGATAGGAAACCCGCAAAATGAGAAGTGTTGCTGCAGATACCATCATAGCTGGCACAGAGAGCTTCCTTCTGTGCTAAGCAGTAGCGCAGTGTGAACTCTGATCAGAGCAGATCACCAAAACATCTTGGGGAATATTGCTTTGGGTTCTGACTAGTATGCTGCCAAATAGAAAACAAAATTTTAGAGGGAATGATTCAATCCAGAATTGCCTTAGCTTTGGTGGATACACCTGAGCCTAGTTTCAACTGCATTTCTGGCTCTGTAGAGGTTTTTGTCTAATGCATTGAAGCCCCTGATGAAGGCACTTCTTTTAATTTGTAGTCTTGAACTACATGAAGACTGATTCCTGGGTTATTATGTCCCATTTAAAACTGTCTGCTTAACTACACTGTTAGCATTATCACCTCAACAGCAGTACAGAAAACTCCAGGTCAGGTAAGGTACTGACTTAAGCACATCACTGAACTGAGCATGGAAGACAGTTGCTAGTTCAGGACAGAAGCACTGACAGTGCAATGGCAAATGGTTTTTACACTCTGTTTTGCAAGTGCCACTTGGTACACTGCCAGGCTGGAAACCCTTACCACGCAAGAAGTACCTGCTCAGCTACATGGGTCTGTCACTTGGAGGACAAGTAACTGACATCCAGTACTAGCTTAACATTTGTCTACATAAGAGGATGTCAAGGGTAATGATGCACATGCTTATCACAAGTGCTTATCACCAGTGTTTATCACCAGTGCTTATCACAAGTGTCTGCTGATGATGGAGAAGTAGTAATATGTCTTTCCCATTCATTTTGGTTTTGGTTTGGTTTTTTTTTTTTTTTTGGTTTTTTTTTTTTTTTTTTAGGAGATGGGCAGAAAGAGAAGGGAACAGGACAGTGTAGCTTATGATTTAGATGGAAGCTCACTATTAGGGTATGGTTTTTACTTCCTGAATTGCATTCTGAGTTGTTTACTGGAATCAACAATATAGAAGAGATTGGAGAACTTGGCCTATTCTTCAAATGAATAAACCTTATTGTACTTGCAATTTTGCTGGCACAATTCCTCCATTTTGTCAGCTAAGTCTCTTACTGTGGACTGCATAAAAAAAAAAAAAACCATTAGAAAAAAATATGACTCTTCATGCATATCAGGAGGTGACTGAGGGGGAGAGAAATTTTTAGGAATGTTAATAATTTGTATGTGACATGAAGTGGGGAAGAACACTTTGTGTTCTGTCCATTTCTGCCTGAACAAGCCTCAGGTTGTCACCCTGCTCCCTACTAAAATAAATGCTAAGCATTACTAATGACCAATGAACTTCATCGTTCAGAGCATTTGTGAAATACAGTTTTTGGACCCACTGAGAAGTGAAGCTGTATTTGTTTCTCAGAAAAAATTCCAAAGTTTTTCACCAAAAGAAGACTCAAAATTCTACTGTTACTACAATGAAAACAACGTTAAAGAATTTAAGTAGCTGAAGAATTGTATTAATAAGCAACCAAGAGATTACAACACTATAACTGGCTCATGTGATAAGAAACAGTTCATGCTGTTTCTGCAATTCGGCATTAAAAATTACACAGCAGACAAGTAATGGTAAAAAGCTGACAGTATTGAGTTACTAAAGGTTTATTAACCTTTTCAATAGAAATACAAATGAGTCAAATATTTGGAAGAAGAAATAGAAATATCAGTGTTGGTATAGAAGTATGATAAGCAAATTGTATGTTGGTTCTGGCCTTATTTTATCATTGAAGATCATGTTAAAATGTCACAGCATGGAAAAAACTCCAAAGAAGTTGGAAATTTCAAGTATAAGTTCTTATAGTTACCTTTTAAAATCTCTTGTAGCTGGGTAAATTATAGCAGTCAAAATACCTCTTTAATAAGAGCTATTGAGAAAAGCAGATGAAAACAATACAAATAGAAAATTTTAAACTGGATTCTCTCTTGATGAATGTATCTCTGGGCTTGGAAAACTTAATATCTTCTTTTTTAGGCAATGAACATCTTTGGTGGATGGTTCTACTGAAAGATCCAAAAGTGTTTAAAAGAACTATTAATTTGAGTATTAAAAATATTAAAAATACTCCAGCTCAAGCCACTTACAGTTACAGCTTAAAACACCCAAGAATGCACAGAGACTAACATCTGTGCTACTTATAAAGAAACTAGCTAAGGGCTCTATACCTGGACTTCAGGTCGCTTAATTAGCATTGCCTCTGTCCTGGGACAGAGTAATTGATGTGGATTTGCCTTGTGTCAACAAAGCAATTCATAGGTCATGCTGCAAGATGGATTCAATTATGTCCACACAATTTTAAAAGGGTGCTTCTTTTGATTTCAATCAGGAGAAAGAAGATGTGCAAATACTGAAGTCCGATGTACTATGGGTGGAGGTGTAATAACCTACTTAGCATAGGTTGTCTGCCTTAGCTGCATAGGCGAAGTTTGCTGCAACTCCCAGTTTAGAGAACTTAGGCCCAGATGCCCAGAGCTGGAAGGACTTCACACTCTTAAGCGGTGATGAGAGCTTATATAAGTATCTGCAATCCATGTTTATTGTCGAGGTGCATAGCCAGATTCATCCATTTAGCCATGTAGGTCCTGCAGATTCAATCCCAAGTTTTTCATGGGGACTAGATTTGATGTGGCTGTTCTTTAATTATTTATGGATATGCAGAAAGATTAAGCTGATTTTGGGCATTGCCTCAGAATGAACTAAGCCAGGGACTCAAGCCATTCATTGTTACTCATTCATTTGGGCAAGTTAAATGCAATACAAAGTGTGCTAGATAATGTCTTTTTGTATGCTCTCCAACAGCAATGAGATATGTGCCAATTATTTCAGTGGGTGGGGAATGCACCCCGAATCCCCATTTTCCAGTTCCAATTTCTTCAGTTGAATTTGTGAGCTTTACCTAGAAATGAGAACTCAGGTTCTTGTTGACAACTCTTTTTTCCATATAATAGAGATTATATATTTTAAATCCACCATTCAGATTAGTATGCAAAGGGGGGGATACATGTATCACACTTTGCAGATAATGAGTTACCTTGCCTTTTACAAACAGGGTTCCAGTTACTGGAAGCATCCATAACTGCAAAGAGATATTTGTTGCAGAACACCCTAACTGTTCTGGGAGCAATTACTTCTGATAGCTGATGCCATATAGGACAGCTCACTGATACAAAAATCATTGCATTTGGCAGGCCAAGGTACCAACAAGACCAACAGGTTTATTATTGCCAAAGGAATATGCTGCCTTCTGCATAAATTTGCTCTTCTGTTAGTGACATCAGTAAGAACTCAGTGATGGAAGACCTTTCAAAAGCCTAGAGAGATTGACTTTCAAAAGTTATTTCAGCTAAAGTAGAAATGAATTTATTAAATGAAACTAAAAAACTTCTTTTTGAACTTGCTGTTCACAGATGCAAAGGTAGTCTGATTTCCAAGTAGTTTGATCCAGAAAAAAAAGATAAATGTTAAATAGGAGGTCATGTTTGTACCTTCTGTATTTTAGGGTACATAAGACAAAAATTATTCCTAGTATAGTGATATAAGATGTAAAGCTTCCTCACTGACTTATGCTGTGTCAAAACATGCTGATTCAACTAAAGCAAGATACTTTATTTGGATTTCATTCTGCTTTTGTAGTTTTCTACTGTAACAATTGGATTTTGTACTAAGCATTTAATATTTACTATTTTCTATTTACGAAAAAATATCCATATTATAATAAAGTATTTTGACAGCACCAAAATTTACACAGTGACAGAAGCAATTATCTGTGGTTTAAGACTTCATTCCACAAGAAATTTAAAATATTTTACCTTATTTCATTCTACAGTCTGATTCCCACCTCTCATAATGAGCTGTTCTTCTGGCCTCTGGCCATCATTTTTTCACTGGGGATGTTTCCAAAATCACTTTGAGTCAGCACTTAAAAAGCCATCTTCTAGTTGGTTGCTTAGTACATCTTGTTTTGTCATCTGTTTCTGTAGTGAATAAAACGCCGTAACCTTACAGTTACCCTGTTGCAGAAAGGAACAGGCATAAGTCCATTTTGGTTCGAAATTGTAAATCTCCATTAATTTAATTTTTTAGTCATAGCATTTTTCAAAGACTTTTTAAATAAGAGCAGCTTATTTTTATAAGTGGTATTTATAGCATCTATCGAAACTGTTGAAGTCACATTCTTATCTGACAAGCTCAACATTCAATGTGTTCTGAAAACTGAACATATTTTATAGCAGCTTTCTTCTACAGAGTGAAAATGGAAACTCCTGATGATGAAGCCAAATGAGAAAAAAATCTAAACAGAGAAGTATCTGCTTAAGAAGCAGTAGTAAATCTGAGGCAGAAATACAGCCAGCAGTGGACTGAGATGTACAATGCTCTGCAGTGGGAGCTGAGATTTAGTGTCCTCCCATTGAATCTGAGAAACAACCTTACCTTTGAAGATAGGGTAAGGTGTATTGAACAATCCAGGTTAGTGCCAACATCTACTCCGTATAAAGATCCAGCTTTCTATGCACAAATCCTGAGTGAACATTCATGGGATTTACCTTCTCCTCTATGCCTTGAAACCTGCCTGGCCTACAACCTGCACAGTGGGGCCAAAGTACAGTTCATCAATCTCCCAGGTCCAGGGGCTTCATTCTGCCTTACCTATGACCATGCAACAGGATCACAAAAATCTGATACAATAGAAGCCATAAACATATTTAGAAAATCAAATTGAGTAGATAGATAGATAGATAGATAGATAGATAGATAGATAGATAGATAGATAGATAGATATTTGACATTTCTGACTTAGAACAGGAAAAATGCAACCAAACAAAAAAACTAGACTTAGCACAAATTTGGTACTAAAAAAGAGAGTCTTCTATGAGATGAAGAGAGGCTCTCTCTTTATCTAACACTGATGTATTAAAAACATCTGTTTATCACTCAGTGATTACTGTATCTACAATTTGACCTCTTTTTTTTTTTTTTTTTTTTTTTAGAGCCATAAACTGGCTTATAGACTGAAGTAGTTGTGGGATAGCAATTAAAAATGAAGTATGTAGCACTCCCTAAGTGACAGTTCTTGTTCTTTGGTTGAAAGATTTGCATGGATTTAATTGTATGTGCTTGACTGGGATTGGATAAGTGTATTTCTTTTAGTTCTCTTTTACTGAAATACTCTTAACACTGGACGTAGGGCAGGGAAGTTACATATGACTCCCAACCTGAAAGTTATAATATTCTTTGGAGAAGTTGAAATATACTGTAGGAATTTTCTTGCTTATGTGTCTCTAGAAGCATCTGCCAATGGGATTCTAAATGGTGTTTGCTGAAATGCAGAGCAATGCATACTGTGAAGAGAGGTGTTTTACACATGTATACCAGTGGATGGATGAACTGTTTAAAGTCAGCAAGAGATGAAAAGTGAGGTTATATATCTGTGCATGCATACAGTAAATGTTCACAAATACCCTTTTAAGTGTTTCAGATGAGAGTTCTTTATTTATAAAACTCATGTATTCTCGAATTTTATTAGTCTGCATTCCACTCCCGGGAACAAGTTCCAAAGAGCTCCAGGAGTACAGAAAAACATGAAAGAGGCTGTTGTTTTGGATTGACCATGGAGGCTATGAAATCATGCCACTGAATGTGGGGTGCTACCCTCTGAAAGAGGATACGGCATCAAGTACCAGGGAGAACTGCTCACTTTGCAGTTAGAGGCACAATGCAGAAAAACATATATGAGAGAAAGGACCAAGCAGTCTGAATACGAGATACAAGTCACAAAATTTAGGTAGTAAAAGTGGGTGCTAAAAACATTGAGCAGCATCTGTGACCACTTATATAGAGCAAGCCCAATCCCAGTTAAGAACCTAAACATTCTGCCTGCTGCCTCTCTCATCTGTATGCAGAAATCCACCTAACAATTCAAGGACAAAACACGTCATTTTTCTTGGACCTTCTAGGCCTATCTGAAATATTAAAAAACCAACAGCAAAACAAAAAACAAAACAAAACAAAACAACCCCCCAAAAAACCTCGTCAAAATAAAAATAAACTCTAATCCAACAATCTCCCTTCTGCCACATATCCATGCTTGATTTTTTCTCTAAGACAACTTAAAATTTCCATACTTGCATTTAATTCTCAGTATATAGTCAAAAGAGTACAATGGTAGAATTCCTTATCCAACAAAGAAAAAATAACTATTACTCTTTCTACTTAGCTCAAATTCTCAGGCTAAAGCTTTATTTTCTTTATCATGTTTGCAGAGCAGTGATGTTTAAACAAACAATATATAGACCCATTCTTCTGGAGCTACTTATCTCAAAATATTATTCTTCCTTACCTAACTACAAATGTTTTATTCTGAAACTCTCATTAAGCCATTAATAACCACCTGTTGCGACGGCCAACAGCTGGTCTGGAGGCCTCACAGTCATAGTTAGCCCTAACTATAACTCGACCAGCCTATGCCATCAGGGAAAAGAAGTAAACATCCGTAGGAGGAAGGCATTGAGAAGCTGGGAGATTCAAATTCAAACAACACCAGCCAATCCCTGACAAGCATGGATGCAGGCAGCTACTGGCCAGCGAGCTGGGTGATAACCAAAATGTAGTCAATTGGGATTGACTGCAGGATTTTTTTGAAAACCGTATAAAAGAGAACTGCAAAAAATAAAAATCCACTGCTGCCACATGAACCACAGTGTCGTGTTGTGTCCATCTCAGCTGTGACAAGTGGTGATCCTGACATGACTGGCAGCACCCTGCTACATGGAGAGCAGGAGATGGCACCCATGGGAGAAGAAGCCTGGAGAATTGCCAGTGGTGCATATAGCTGCAAGAGCACAGACCACTGCAAATAGAAAGTATCCACTGGGGACATGGGGACCAGAGTCCTGACAGAGGAAAGAGCCCTAGTGCAGGTATGAACCTTCTTTTTATGCAAATGAGGGATAAAATATGATGAACATGCTCTGCAAACCTTACTGTCATGGTGTAAGAGCCATGGACTTGGCACAACCACAGAAGCTGCTTTTAACATGCAAACATGGGAGCAGGCTGGTGAACTGGTATTTAGGTTGGCCTCCCAAGGTGACAACATGGTTAAAGACATTTTAATGACCTGGTAGCTGATGTTGGACACTTTAAAACAGACAAAAACTGACTGGAGTGTGAAAGCCACAACTGAGGTGCCATGGGCACTGCCCACCAGAACATCCAGCAAGGATGGAGGCAGGGGGAAGCGATGTGGGGAGTGGGTGTCACCTCAGGCGCACAGGCAGAATGGCCAGGCAAGAAGATGGAGGGACCAGCCATTATCCAAGCTCCAGGCCCCATATTGCTGTTTACCCGCTTGGCCTGGCCCTGCCTGTGGCTGATGAGACAGCACAGCCACCACTTGGCACGCACACTCACAGCAAGCATGCAGCGGAAGCCAGAAGACAAATGGAGGGCTGCTGGCGCACAGAGCCATGGAACACCACATCCCACTGTGTCACAGCCAGGGCTCAAAAAGCCTGAGGAATATACCAAGACTGTGCTTTGTATTGATGCAATGGTGATCTTCTTTTCACTGATCTACAGACCATACCTGTAAAGTCTGGAATCTGGTAACTGGACAAGGGATTATGTCTTTAGTATAATGTGTATATTAAATAATGTAGTAAATGAAATATTACAACTACACTATCCTGGTCTTGACAGTTTCAACCTCCTATATCACACTTTGGAACCTACTCTCAATAACTGTGGAATTGTTGCCATCCCTCTTGGACTTCTTAGTTCTCTTTATGTGGATACACTGCAACAAAATGACCTGTGGTTTTCCAATATCAAGAGAAATTTCATTCAGAACCAAGTGTGGACTTTATTATTCCTACTACAAACAGATGATTCAGGCTGCTTCCATGCGGCAAGGTTTACATGGTTTAGTATATGACAATAAAACTGAATCTGAGGACAATTAGCATACTTGAAAGAATGAACATTTACCAGGAGGTGTTTCTCAGCATTCTTTTTAGGATTCTTACAATTCAGCAATACCTAGTGCCTGTTTACTTTTATATCTATACTTTCTTTGGATTTCAAGCAGTTTAGGTCATTGCTCTGCATGTAACAAGCTAGCTTCTTAGTAGAAGATGGCTTTCAGGGTCGGCAGCTTGTTCGTAAATTACGAAGTTAGTGAAGCTGAAGTACAGAGATGCAGAAACAATGGATAACTTGCAGAACTTTCATAGTGATTTCTTTTCAGAGCCAGAGTAGATACTATAAGCAGTAGAATTCACGATCCCTTTAAGGGAAAACTGGGCACTGCCATTCTTTGCTGTTCAGCTTGCAGTCATCACATACCTACTCAGAACTCATTTACAGCCTGCTCAAGAGGCTGTACACTCATGTACAGCCTCATGTACAAGGTTCACACTCATGGCTGTATGCACAGAAATGTTTCACTTTAGCCTGACTTGGCAATTTAACCAGTTTATGATGCTGATACAAGCATTGGCATTATTCATACTGGAATGGACTGAAAATGTGTGATCTCTTCCACTGGACCTGCTGTTCTTGGAATGTGTGCTGTATTTAATAACCTCTTGGTGTCATGCTTAAGTCTCAATAGTCACATATATCTTTATATATTATGACTGAATTTATATGTATATATAATACTTTCAGTTTAAATTAACTAGAATTCAGTATTCTCCAATGGCCACCTCAAAATTATAACCTGGTCATTTCAACATTTTCAAAAGAATTTATTTCTGTGGGAACTTGAAAAGCATTTCCTGAAAATTTATTACAGATTACAGTTTAAAATATTTTTGTGCTCAAAGAATCTCAGGTGATGCCATTAAGACAGCATAAAATACCACAAAATACCAGGAGAGCAAACAGACTAGTAATTATCTAATGCATTTTCATGGTATCCAAATCTGCCTTTTGGTAGTGCTAACTCAATAAATAATTACTATACATAAACAAAATATGGGCTGTAACTCTCAAAAAACTTAGAAT